CTCTGCCTGCGAGGCCATCTTCTAGGCGCCCTGGACGCATCTGTGAACCTAGACGCAAAACCAAGCCCTGGGAGAGACTGCCATCTGGCAAGGGAAGAGAAACAGTATCATTATAACTAAGTTATTTAGTACTTTGGAAGATGATAAGTCCTGTGGGAAAATCATAACGAGGTCAGGTGAATGAGGAGTGGACGTGGGGGCAGTGGGAAATGGTGCAGGATGGGCCTGTCAGACCTCATTGGGAAGGTGAAATGTAGAGACGTGAAGGAGGTCAAGAGTTAGCCCTGTGAATAAACGGGGAAGACAGTGCTAGACAGAGTGCTCAGTGCAGATGAGAGAGAGGAACGGTTTATATATTTTTAAATAGTTGAAAAATCGGGGGCCGGCCCCGTGGCCAAGTGGTTAAGTTCTCGCGATCTGCTTCTGCGGCCCAGGGTTTCGCTGGTTCGGATCCTGGTGTGGACATGGCACCACTCGTCATGCCACAGTGAGGCGGCTTCCCACATGCCACAGCTAAAATATACAGCTATATAGTGGGGGGATCTGGGGAGGAAAAAAGCAGAAAAAAAAAATTGGCAACAGTTGTTAGCTCAGGTGCCAATCTTTAAAAAAAAAAGAGTTGAAAAATCAAAGGAAGAATATGGTCACGTGTCACTTAATGACGGGGACACGTTCTGAGAGGTGCATCCTTAGGTGATTTCATCATCGTATGAACGTCACAGGGTGACTTACACAGACCTGGATGGTACAGCCCACTACACGCCAGGCTTTATGGTGCTAATCTTATAGGACTGTCGTCCTGTAGTATACACGGTCTGTCATTGACTGAAACGTCGTGTGCTGCATGACTACTTCATGACAGGAGTTTATATGAAATTCACATTTCCATGTCCATAAGTAAAGTGGTGTCCAAACACAGCCACACCCATTTCTCACTGGCTGCTTTGGTGCAGATTTGAGGGCAGATTTGAATAGTGATAAATAAATGACAAGCAATGGGATATATTGGAGTATCTGAAGAAGCCACTTGGTGTAAAACTAATCCGGCCTGAGCTCGTTTTTCCAAAAGGACCTGATGTGGCCTGTCGGGCATGTATTGGATATCTACTCTAAATATTTACTGCATCCCAAATACAAGAATGATGCCCCTAAACATAGGGATGTAACGTCCCCCTTTCCTTAGGACAAGCATCTCTCCCTAAACTAAGGATTAATTACTGACCTGCTGTGCTCACCTTGTGACCCCTCTCCTCAAGACCACAGACCTGCTCTGTTCACCGAATTGCTGTGCCGACAAAGCAATCTCGTGACTATTGTAAAAGGGACATTCCGATCACAGGTGATGCATGCTCTCTGATGGTGTATAACCACCCTGTACACCCCACTTCTTTGGAGTGCTCTGTTCCTTTGGGAAAGGACTCTCCTGGGCTATGTGGTCTTCAGATCTGAGTCATGATAAACTCACCCCAATTTTGATTTATAGATTGGTTATGGATTATTTGCATCAACAGTTGCAAAAGAGACCACGTGGCCCACAAAGCCTAAAATGCTTGCAAGAGTTTATATGGTTTCAGAAACGCAGAGGTGGCAATTTCAAAGTGATTACCAAGCCAATGTGTTCAAATAAGAAAACAAGTCAGAGACACAGGCTGCTCTGGTTTCATTTTCACAACTTGCAACATGTTTTAAAGTCTTAGCAGTTTTACCAGACCTCTGTGTTCAACTTGTTCTTCCAAAGACAGTGAACAGAACAAATTGGTAACACTTTGGAATATCTGCCAAAGTCCCTATTGCACAGAAAAACAAGTTTGATATTCTAGTGAATGTTATCAAGTTAACGCCCCATTAAATCAGATCTTTTCTAACAAGTGTTAACTGTAAAGAGGTCTGCCCCGGGAGAGAACGTCTCCCTCCTCTCTTTCTCAGACTTTCTGTTCATTATGAAGACTTGCTTTTTTTTTTTTTTTTTAGGTCAGGCTCTGGAATTTCATGACTTAGCATTAAAAGCATAACAAGGCCAGTAGAGATCAATTTTAATAGCAGTGACAAGAGGTTTTCACATATTGAGGTATATGGGGTAACTATTTGGGTTCAAAAGTGATTCAGCTTGAACTAGAAAGCCTGGCTTATAGCTTATCAAACACACATTGTGTATCTGCTCATCCATTAAGGAATGCCCCCTCTCAAGATGAGAATGCAGACTGCCACTTCTAGCGCTCTTGGTAACGCCATATTAGTCCCTTTCCTGACATCGGGGTCATGTTGACCTGCTAATTTGCACTAAATACCTCTTTGAAATTTTGATGAAAATGTATCCTGGATGTGTTTAATGTGTGTTCTTTGTCCTAAAAAGATACAAAACTGTTCTGAAAACCATGCTTCTCAGGAACGCTGTCTAAGGCCTTCCCAGGTTAGAATCCTCAGTTTGGCTCGTAATAGACTCACCTTATTTCTCTTCTCTATAGATGGTTCTTGGTTATTTTGCGTCACAGCAGACATGGAATAGGGGTGGGTCGGAATGTCCTCGGTCACGGGGAGCATGCAGCTGGGCAGGCAGGGAGAAGCCTGCCTGACGGCAGTGACACAGAAACAGCAGGGCCAGAGGAGAAGGGCGGCTCCTGAGGACGTCTCTCAAGGGCAGCATCTGGCTCTACACACATGTGAGCCCTTACCTTCCTTCTGGTGCTGAGCCAGGTAGGGTTGAGGTTTTGTCACTTACCATGGAAATAGTCCTAACTGGAGGACAAAGTCCAGAGAGAGTTCACCGAAACGACCCGCAGAGGTGGTGGATGCAAGATGGGATGAAGAGGAGACGGATGGCTTCAAGGTGACCTCAGGAGTGTCAGGATCTGAGGAAGATGGCGTGGGCACAGAGACAGGAGCGTGCATTCCCGCTGGGAAGACGAAGGGTCAAGTTTGGGACATGCCGGGTTTGCGGTGATGGAAGATGTAGCCCATGAAGGGAGCCAGAATATGTCCCCCCAAAAGGTGCCTATGACATAAAAATTATTTTGAGCTGAAGGCAATTAAGGAGCAGCAAACCCAGGAAAATCTCCCCCTTTTCTGCCTAAAGGCAAGATTTAAACTCTCCTTTTCCTGGAGACAGACTCTCATCAGCCAAGGGCGATAGAGGACTCTGCACACGGACCTTCTCCACTGCTCCCTGCACTGCCTCTCCCTGCCCACGGTTGCCGCCCTGGAAGACCAAGACTGCGTGTCCTGTCACTCCTCTGCACAGTGTTGTTCTCTGTGGAAGGCACTCTACAGGCTGGATTCTGGGCCTCCATTTTGAGTTATGTTGGTTCAGGTTCTCTGCATGATGTGCACTGCATGCCACTAACAGACTGTTTTTCTCTTGTTAATCTAGCTTTTTGTTACGGGGCCTCAGCCAAGAACTCAGAGGGTAGAGGGAAGATTGGTTCCTCTCCTACACCCACAAACACTCCTGAGATTCAGGGGTGAGCCTAGCACCTGGTCCAGACCAGAGATGTCAACCAAGGAGTCATCAGCACAGAGCTGTAGCTGAAACTGTCAGGATGAGCTGCCAGAAGCCCTGGAGAGCAGAGAGGGCTGAGGACTGAGTCTCAGGAAGCCTGGGTCTCACACACACGGGAGCAGGGAGAGCCATGGAAAAGTGGCTTTCATTAGAAAAGTGGTTGGAAGAGCAAAGAGGATGAGGCGTCCTGTTGTCCCAAAAGGCCGGGAGGAGTGGGCAGGAGAGGCAGGGTGGGGGTTGGGGTGACAGATCAGCATTTGGGTGGTAGAGCTCGAGAGGCTTCCCGGAAACGTTCTAGAAAGGCCACCTCTGAATGTGTGAAAGTGGGGAGTGAGGCAGACCTCGTACTCTCACAGACCAACATGCGGTCAAGCTGAGACAGGCTGCCTTGAGACCTCCGTGGACACTCCCATTCCTGTCTGCCTCTCCCCCCCACCCCATGAACCCCAGGCCGATCCGGTGTGTCTGAGACGCCCGCCGAGGCTGGGCCACTTCCCTTTGTCCACGTCTCTGAGAGCGGGTCCTCCTCTGGGGTGCCAGCAGGCGGGCAGGGCCGGGAGGTCAGGTTGCTCAGGGGACCTCTGGTCGTCTTGTCCAAGGCGTCGTCCTGCCTGGTGGGCTCCACGTGCAGCTTCCCTGGGGCCAGACTTCCTAGGGTTCCTGCCTGCAGACCACAGCCCCGGTGCTCGGCCTGCGAGCTGTGCAGAGGCGGGGGTAGTGAAATCCTGCAGGTTTGCCCTCATCCCATGCGGGCTCTCAGAGCGAGGACGTTTTCAGTAACATTCTGATTTGATGCAGGAACACAAGATTCTTTGCCTTCTGCTTCAAAGTCTCGCAGAACTATTCTGTGCTCAAATGACATGCAAAGTCCCAGGCAGTTCACAATGGGTCAATTTTGGGGGAAGTCAGACCTGGGTGAGGGTGGAGAACATTCATTCATTCATTCATTCATTCTGTTAAGAGGTTTTCACATGTTGAGGTATATGGGGTAAGTATTTGGGTTCAAAACTGATTCGGCTTGGACTAGAAAGCCTGGTGTATGCCTGTCAAACACATATTGTCCATCTGCTTATCCATTAAAGAATGCACCCTTCTGATAAGAACGCAGACTTCCCCTCCTACGCCCTGTTGGTGACGTCTGGATTAGTCCCTTTCCAACATCAGGGTCATGTTGACCTGCTGATTTGTGCTAAATACCTCTTTGAAAATGTATCCTGGGTGTGTTCACTGTATGTTCTTTTGTTCTAAAAAGATGTAAGACTGTGCTGAAACCCATGCTTCTCCGGAACACTTTCCTCCTTTCTGGAAAAGGCCTTCCCAGGTTATAATCCTCACACTAACTCAAGTAAACTCACCTTGTTTCTCTTATCTACAGAATGGTTATTGGTTATTCTGCGTCGATGTTTCATTCGGCAGGTCTTTATTTACCTGTTCTGGCCGATGGTAGACCTCTGGGATATAGTGATGATGAAGAGAGACCTGATCCTCATCTTCATGGAGTTTACAGCCCAACAGGAAGACAGAAAACAGTAACAAGGCAGAGGAGACAGAGATGAACAGCAAGGGCCTACTTTCCGTAGGGCCATCAGAGGTATCTGGGAGGAGGCGACATTCAGGCTGCATCGTAAAATATGCGCTGGTACGGAACGTCCAAATGACAGAGGGGGCAGAGAAACCAGCGTGAACACAAAAGCCCTCTAGCGGGGAGGGAGGGCCAACCAGTGTGTTGGGAAGGTGGAGGGTCTTGTGAGGAGGGAGTGAGGTGGGGAGGGCAGGGACCAGATTCTCTCCTTGGCCACACTCTAGCCAGGCCCCTCTGAGCCCCTTCCTCGACCTGGCCGAGACCAAACCTGTAAAGACCTGGAGGAACAATAACCTGGCCTCTGATAGCTCAGGTGCCCCCAGCCCCATGCCTGCTGGGCACATTCAAGGCTGCCAGGAAGACTGGCTGTTTCTTCCAGCCAATACCTGGGTGGGCCCGCAGGCCCTCCGAGTCTCTGGGAGGGCAGAACCCTCACCGATGGCTGCCAGCGGCAACACAGCAGGCCCAACCCAGGCCCAATTGCATCTACACTGACTGGCCCCCGGTAATTTTTCCCACCCTGACTGCGGTGGGCCCTCTGCCCCGCTCCTGACTCCCTCATTCGCCTCTACAAATCCGGGATCAGTTCAGTTCACGATGGACTCTTTCCTATAGCAAAAGTTATAGCTGATTAAAATGTGTCCTCACTGTTGTAGCTGGCGTCCAGCTTTGTTCATCTGTGACACGTCAGCAGACCTCACAGGCTGTGGCAAGAAGCCTGGGTTTTATTGCAAGTGCAAGAGAGAGCCCTGGAAGGTTGTAACAGAGGCGACGAGCCGTGGCTTGGATCTAAGATGCTCCTGGCTGCCGTGGGGAACAGGTGCAGCTGGTGCAGGGGGAGGAGCTGGGAGGTGGAGGCCGAGCATCGGGAAGGCGAGCAGTCACGGTGACGGTCAGAGCTGTGCACACCATCTGCGTATTCTGAGGTCCACGAGGGTGCACGGCTGCCAATTGCCCTTGTCTCTTTTCAGTCATCCCTGTGGGTCACTGGGCGTCGTCCTGCGGACGCCTCGCCTCACACCCCCGTTTGTCACTGGCATTGCGGAAGAGCTGGAGAGCCACTAGGATGGAGAGACTCCAAGGCTGAGAGCGCCTGAGATGGATGCACAGTTGCTCAATCGGGACACCAGCCCGGCTCCGCACTGTGACTCTTGATTCAAACAGATCTTCCTGTTTTCCAGCGAGGTGCTGGTCCCAGGTCCTCTCCAGGCTCAGGGGACGCAGTTTCACACACGCGTTTCCTTTTACAGAGCTCCCTGGAGAATACTGTGAATGTGCGACTGCGTTGGGGTCTCATAATAAGGAGGAAAAATTTTGCTCTTTACACTTACCACCACCGAACACTTTGTTTCTCCTTATTTTTCCTGCCTGCTGGGCCTTCCTACTCCAGCCTTGCAGACGAAGGCAGCAGCCGCCTCCCAGGACTGGGTGTTCCGTCCCTGATGCTTGGGGCCGGGCACAGTGTTAGCCAGGGCCGAAGACAAGCCGTCTCTTGTCCCTTCCTCTCCAGCTGTAATCAATAGCCTCCTGGTGGCACTGCTGGACCTGGAGACCTGACCTCGTGGTCCCGCTAATGACTGTGCAGGAATAAATAATTTAGATTCTTAATGAGGGTTTGAGCTATTTCCCCAACGAACCCAACTTTCCGGCTACTGTAGGCCTCAGAGCTCAGCAGCGCGCATCTCTGAGACTACTGCCGTTTTCACACTCTTTCCTCACAGTCAGAAAGTATTTGGAATTTGGTTTTCAAGAAAAGTATCGATCTGCTCTGATGACGGGGCCCCTCGACGGCACGCCTGGGAAGGAAGTCCATTCCGAGCGTTGCTGGGGGAAGCAAGACGGCAGACCCAGACGTGAGCCCAACTCCTGCCTGGACCTCCCCCACACACGGCAGGAGACAAACCACAATTTATGGTTTCTGAGCCCATTATGACCTCTTTCTAGGGGTTGCACCGAAATTTGGGGAGCTTCTGCAGTGCCAAGGAGTGGGTGGCCGGGGCAGCTCGGTGTCCTCGCTGACCAGCTGCACGTTCTCGTTTCTGTCCAGTCTTTGGTGGCTGGTGCATGAGTCACTGCCATGCCGGCCCCATGTCCCCAGGTCTCCAGCTCTGTGCTGTGCCTCACTCAGTTGTTCACGACGTTTCACTGCTCTGTGCCATCTCGGCGACAAGACCTCCATCCCCAGGGCCTCTGGGGCCCAGGGACCACAGCCTGACCCTCTGCCGCAGCTTGTGACACTGAGCGACTCAGCCCCTGTGCCTGCATCAAAGACTGCCAACTGGAGCCCCACAGGTGGCCCTCAGACGTGTCTGCTTTGATCCATACTAATTAGTAAAAAGAAATAAAAATTAGAGCCAACGCATAAATCAGAAGATTTCACATATTTTGGATCCTCCTCCTATTTCTCTGAGCCCACAAATAGTCTTATATCACCTCAAAACTATGTCCCCGCAATATGGCTCAATGTGCCACTTTGAGCTCACTGTTTCCAGGTCTGCTCGCACCTTACTCTGTGTGGAGCCAGAGACCAGGCATCCCCTGGGCCCCGGCACCCCTTGGACTGTCTGTGACAAGGATCAGTTTAAAATTTTCCCATTGACCACAGACCAATACTTCTGTAAAATACGATAAAAATGTAACACCAGAAAATGAAATTAAAAAGATACACACTATACAAGCTCCACTTATTCTTAGTTTGAACAGAAAAAAAATTGCTCTGTCAAGTTTCTGTGTAAGTTTTTAAATGCGTACTTTCGGTTTCTGTACTTCATGCATTGTGGATCAATAACAGGGTAAGCATGGCCTGAACAATTCCCAGACTGCTCTGCCTCTGTGCTTTTGCTTATGCTGTTCCCTCCACCAGGAATGCTGTGCCCACGGCTGCCCACCCTCCTTCCTTCCCTCCCCCTTGTCAGGTTCATCTTGCAAAGGCATCCCCACCCTTCACGGCCCTTCAAAGGCCCCCTGTGCCGGGAGGCATCTTTCCTGCTCTGTGACCCCCTTGGAGGGCACTCCACTGTCACCCTCTTGGCCAGTGCTACAACCACGGTGTGCTTGTGTCCTCCAGCCGCCCCCACCCCCCATATCAAACTTCCGGGGCTCAAGAACCTTCTTTCCCACGGTGCTGACACAAAGCCTGTGCATGGTGAGCTCTCAACACACAGTTTCGGAGTAAGGACGTCGATAGAAGAAAGCAGCGAAGCCACAGGGCTGGTCACCGGCGTCAGCGGCAGAGATGGGAGCAAAACTTGCTCCCTGTTCTCTGCTTCACTCTCCTAGGCTCTCACAGATTTAGCCCTAAAAGCGAGGTGAGTCAGACAGAGACAGACAGATGCTGTGTGATCTCATTTATATGCAGAATCTGAAAAAGCCAAACTCATGAAAACAGAGTGGAGGATGGTGTTCCTGGGGGCGATGTTGTCTGAGGCTCAAACTTGCAACTAGTAGACAAGTGAGTTCTGGGATCCAATGACAGCACAGTGATTAAAGACAACAATACTGAGTCATAAACGTCAAAGCTGCCGGGAGACTAGATCTTAATTGTTCTTACTACGAAAGAGAAATGATGGTCACGTGACGCAATGGAGGTGTGAGTCAATCGTACTGCAAAATAGACAGCATCAAACCAAGGCGTGTGCACCATCAACTCACACAGCGTCACACATCAGTTATATTGCAGTTAAAAAACAAAACCAAAAAATCTTGAGCTCTATAATATAATCACAGAAAAATCTGATTAACACAAGAAAACCACAGATCGACTTATTGTTGCCAAATAAAACTTAGTCTGAATATCTTCCCTGAATTTGAATGAACGCTGGGGCTCCTTGAAGAAGCACAAGAAAAACCCTGGAATCAGGATCCACAAGGTCTTGCACCTGGTACACTTTCACCCAAGACTCAGTAATTCCTGATTCTGGCTTAAAAAGGGGGCACGGGAGGGCCCCCCGAGAATGAATGTGTGTCGTTAGGGGCTGCTGGGGGAGCTCCCCCGGAGTGGGAGACTGTTCTTGGAAAGGACCTGGAGCAACGAAGGGAGCAGTGCTGGGAGGGAGACTGAGGGTGCTGGAAAGTCTTGACCCCTATTCAGGCCTCCCTGCAGCTGAGGGAGCTCAGATTCTTTCCAGTTTTTGAAGCTTTAGGTTAATTTTTAAAATCAAGGAACACCAAGCCTTGTCAACATTGCGGTCTAATTAAGTGTTTAATATACACCAAATTACACTTTTAACACACACACGAACTGCATACATAGCCTCACCTGGAAATCAATCGAAGAGTCTGTTTGTGAGCCTGTGTGTTTGGGATTCAGCCAAGACGTGGGGGTTTGGGTGGGAGGGAGGAAGTCCCCCACACAGCTGGTGGTTTACAGCTGATGCCCCAAGATTTCGAGTATTTGCCCCCAGGTCCACCTCGGGAACCACTCGCAGCCATTTTCCCTCCACAGTCACACAGCCCCCGGCAACCTCCTTCATTCCTGTGGCTGTAATTGCACAAGTTTGCAGATGCTCACCCTGTCCCCTCGGGGCTGGCCGCCCTCCTGAATCCCAGATCCTTGTCCAGTCTTTGTACTCAGTGCCCACAGGACATTTCCAGGTGTGTGTCCTCTTGGCACCTCAACTCAGCATTTCCAAGAATAAAGCTTGCTCTTTCTTTGACTTTCCTATTCCCAAATCTCTGACTTCCGTGTGCCAGCTCCAGTTCCTCACTGTGACCAGTCATGCTGCCCCATTCTCTCTGCCCGGAACTCCCTCCGACCTCTGCTCCTCACTGCCCTCTGCCTGGGTCATGTCCACCCAGCCCTGAGGCCGGCTCTCAGAAGGCGGCCCCTGACCCCCCAAACAGGCTGGGCCCTGGTCACACGCTTTCATCAGAGTCTGCTCGGCCCTCCATTACTGACCGCCACGGTCTGGAGTTAATCAATGGTTTCCATCAATCGTTCCTTTCGTCAGTATTTCCACTGCCAAAGACAAGCTCACTGACAGCAGGGCCCGATTCCACCCTGTCCCCTCTCATCCCAGGGCCCAGTGTGTGGGACCCAGTGTATTGTCGGCACTTAATAAACACGTGCAACCAATGACTGAGTAAAGAATCGTCTCTCCTCTGCTTGAAGCCCTTCAAGTTGGCCGCCTTGGGGGTGAAGTCGCATCCTCAGCGTGTGTCTGAGGCCGTCCACCTCTGACGCCTCTCCGCACTCCTTCCCACCTCAGCTCGTCCGTCCTGGATGGCAAAGTGGATAAGAACCCGAGTTCTGAAACCGTATGGCCTGGGCTCAAACCCCGGCTCTGCCACTGGCTGGCTGTGTGTCCTGGAAGTTAGGAAAGCTTTCTGTGCCTCAGTTTCTGATCTGATAAAGGAGAATAATAATCGTGCTTGCCTGGCAGGCTTGTGAAGATTAACGTTAAATCCATGTATCATATGTGCACATACAGGTGTACATGTGTATAGATGAGTCCACGTGCATCACATATATTGCATATACACGCATGACGTGTGTGTACACACATATGCATGTTATTCATGTGTACATCTATGTGGTGGGGTTCAGCGTCCCTCCACGTGGGCAGCTTCCCTCCCTGCATCACTGCTCCACACCGTCATTTCTTGTCCATCCCTCCACTAGATGGTGAACTCCTGGGGCGGGGGTCTGGGTCTTACTGCTTTTGTGTCCCCAGGATCCAGCTCAGCGTCAGGGCACAGAGTAGCGCTCTAGAAAGATCTGTTGAAGAAGTACAACCAAAAACGTCTAAGGCAGAGCTGTGTGTACATATATTTGGGGGCCACGTCCCCGGGGAGACTGGGCCGCCCTCAGGGGAGGATGGAGGGCCCGGTGGAGGCCGTGGACAACAGGAGGAGCTCCCCTGTTTCCTGATGGCGGAGGGCCCAGGGTGAGCACAGGTGCATCCTGCTTCCCATGCGAGTGTCCCGGGCACCTCGAGCTGCTCTCATCTCCGCAGGGCGAGGGTTCGAGGCACAGACTCGCTCCTGATCTTGGAGGACAGCCGCTCTTCCCTGTGGTTTCCTGGGCTGTCCACAGGGCCCTGCCCCCAGCCCCACCCAGCGCTGTTCTGCTCTGGGCTGCAGCTGTTCTGACTGGGCAGTGTTCCTGCCCCTGTGGTTGCTAATTTTGAGCATCCGCCCTGACCCCTACCACACAGTCAGTCTAAAGGTGAGGTCGCTTCCTTTTCATCCCCACACTCACTGAAGATCAGCCATTCTGACTCTCCTGCACTCACACTTTACCTGCACTGCTGTTTTCTCAATATTTTTATTTAAGTCGACACACCTGCTTTCGCTGCAGTTCGCAGGGCTGTACCCCTGCAGAAACGCCTTCGGTGGGACAATTCCTCCCACATCTACTGTTTCCCAACCTTTCAGGCAGTGAGTTGATTAAATTCAGAGGAAGAAATAGGTCAAATCCTCTGTTCCATAAAAACTAATTCCCTGCTCTGTCCCTGGAGGTGGGAAGCTCTCTTCCTCCTTTTCTCTGAGCACAGTCCTCTCTGCGGTCCACGGCTCTGTGTGCCGGGCAGACGCCCCCACACGCTCCAGGTCGATCTCTGGTCCCCTGGAGAGAACGCTGTCCCTGAGGGAGACGCACTGGACTTGGAGGCCCCTGGGTCCGCTGGGCCGTGGGCGCCATGTGGGGACCGCACTTCCTCAGGGCCCTCCACCCCTGTGCTCCATGCACACCCTCTCCTTCGGGGACTCCAGCTATTTCACACCTTCTCATGAAGCCTAACCCACTCGTTCAGTCGCGCATCTCTCCCCAGGCTAGCCGCGTGCTCTGCGCTCACAGCCAGCACATCCCAAGCGGGACGCACCACTTTGATGGGGGAACAAAAAATTTTTCCTCCACCCTTCTAATTTCTCAGCTGGAGCCCCTCTTACAAAAGACAGATCAACAAGAGGAAAGCAAGCCCACGTTAGTTAACAGGTGACTTCGTGCACCTGGGAGACGCGAAGGGAAGATGTGGACTCTCCGGGAGGAGCTCAGGACTCAGGCTGGAAGACCATCTTCAGCAAAAGAAAGAAAAGGGCGGGGTGGGGGGGTGGTCGAGGGGAAGTGACAGGAAAAGTCAGGAGAGGGAGGCTCTTGTGCAGACCTGAGTCTGCCGGCGCCTTAGAATGAGAGGCCCGAGGTGTGGACGACGCCTCCTCTCACCTGTGTGGAGGGAGGCCCCTGGCGGAGGGAGAGCTCCTCCCTACAGACGGGTAACTTCCGCTGGTTTCAGAGCTTCCCCTGTGTCTGCAGCTTCTCAAACTAATCCTCATGCCAAAGGGGGGTGTTTGGGGGGACGTATTTCCACTATTTCCACACTGAACCCTCTTGTTCTCTGGCATTTGCCCCCTCAGCTAACTGAACAGCGTCCACCGCAGCATCCAAGCCAGGAAGCCCCTCCTCCTCCTGCTGACGTTCAGGGGTAGCCAAGGTGCACGGATTCTGCCCCCTCGGTCCTCGAAGCCGCTTTCTTATGTGGGCCCCGCCCTATGGCTGCAACAACAGCTTCCCAGCTGGCTAGTCCTTCCTGCACCCACCTGCCGCTCTGCAGCTGCGGCGGAATTCTAAACGGCAGATCAAATCGTTAGCCCGTCCAGCCCGAGGCTAGGACTTTTGCAGGGGCCGCCTACCACCTCCAGATGAGTACCCGGCCCC